ATGCATGCTCCGAACCGAGACAAGCGAACCGAACGGTTCGGTTTTTTTTCATGAACCGTGCCATCCCTAATAGGCAGCGTATGTACCAAGGGGCAGCATATATGCTTACAAGTTTTCTAGTGTTCTAGTTTATCTTTACATTCTGAAGGAGGACACCCACAAGCACAGGAAAAACTACACGTGGAAATTCTGAGTTCCTAGTCAGAAACTTCAACTGGAATGGCCCCAGAAGGCAGAATTCCTACTCAGCAAGTCGAAAGAATCTACACAACCCCAACCACAGAATTCAAGATGGCTGTGCCCTTTATCAACAGAAGTTAAAGCTGAAGTTTTATACCGTTTATTTGCACTTATGTCTTATTTGTGGTTGATTAGAACAAACAGAACTGTCCAACCGCTATCTGCGGACATTGTGCATAAAAACATCATAGCAACATGTACCATGTAATGTGTTGCTATCAACTGATATTGCTAACAATGGCTAATAATTAACCGGCTAGAACTGGGGCCAGTTCCAGAAAGCAGGATATCTTGTTTAGACGGAACTTGTTGAATTAAGGTAGTCTGGGCTAAATATAAGTGAACGAAGATAAAGGCCATTTAAACTGGGATAAATCAAATTCTACAAGTTATCAGTCTAAGCAATGAATCTTGCTTTTTAGAACAGGTTCACAGTATTGCTAAATGGCCTTCTGACTTTCTGTACTGGAACATGGTTAACTCAGCTGTAACATTATTTCCAGCTCTGACTTTCAACCACCGAGGTAAATGGAACGTTTAATAATGTTCAAATGTTTTTAATAAAGGGGTTTAAGTACATGGGATATTATAATAGGGCTGAACAATTTATCGATTTCAAATCGAAATCGCGATTTGAAACAACGCAATTAGCAAATCGCAAAGGCTGCGATTTAGGACATATATTATACAGCAGGGTTTAAAACTGTTGTGACTATAGTTTTCCAAATTCATGCCGTGCTCCCTATGTGACAGTCATGGTCACCAATCAGAAGTGGCTCGAGACGATGTATACGCCCACAAACAGCAAACACGTGAAACCCGAAGAAAATGTTGCGTGGTGCAGAAAAAATACTGATACCTTTACTGAGCTGTAAGTGAATTGCCTTCCTATTTCGTGGCCCAAGATTGTTTCAGAAAGGTCCTTTCATCAATAGAACTGGTGAACTCCTTTTAACTACCAGCAGCGACATACTTCAGTGTCACACCTTTAGTTTTTGTTAATGGGAAATCGCATTAGCATGACCCATCTAAACAACAAGACAGTCGGTAATCCCCACAGCAGCGGAGTCTGTGACCCCCAGTAAAGCCATAGAACCCATAACACAGTCGTGTTTATGTCATATGTTTTTGTGCTCATTGATTTAAGTATTGATTTCCATAGATTAATCTTGTTAAATTAATCTTAATCCACAACAGTAATAAAATTACGCTTTTAGAATTTAGAATTAGAATTTAGTGATCAGTGGTCATTGTCAACACACCACAGCACACAGTGCGCAACAACGAAATGTGACCTCTGCATTTGACCCATATGTGACTTTCGTGACATAGCAGGGGGCAGCTCATTCAGCGCCCGGGGAGCAGTGCTTGGGGACGGTACCTTGCTCAGGGTACCTCAGTGGTGACTTGCTGGTGGGGGATTCGAACCTGCAATCTTTCAATTACAAGTGCGCTACCCTAACCATCAAGCCACCACTGCCCACATTTTAGTATTTTAACGGTGGTTTTAGTGTTATTAGGGGACCAAGCTGTTCACTGCAAGATCGCTTTATGTTTCTTCTTTTTGCTACAATTGAATTCATTATTACTTTATTTAACCTAACACACCACATCTTTAAATTCTCATCCTTGCATTCGAATATAGACCAGTTCATATTTTGACGGTTATCTCATGTAGTAATGCTGCGTCATGTTTTAAATTTATTATACTTAATATTGAACTGAAGCTTGATGTATAAAAAATTATATATCGCAAATCAAATCGTAATTGCAATGTCAGAAAAATCGCGATTACATATTTTCCTCAAATCGTTCAGCCCTATAATACACATACTTATATTTTTACCGTGGTATTGAGTAGGGGTAGGCATTACGATTTAAAATTATTAAAATATTATTTTTCACTTTTTGGACAGTGACGGTATTATATCACGGTGTTACTTTTACTTAGGTTTTAGTAGCAACATGTCCTTTCCATTTATGTAAATTAAAAAAATATTCTATAATATATTTTATAATATAATAAATACACTTCAATTGCTATTACAGGTAGTTATGGGTGGCCTTATTTAAAAAAGATATAAAAAGTGTCATAGGTAATGTTTTCTCATATTTGTTTTATAATTGTCAGAGTAACAACGCAAACAGAATGACAAGCTGCTTTAGCCAAAAATAGTGCATTCTGCAGTTCATTTCAAATAAAATACGGTTTGAAATCTTTTCAGCTATATGATTTAAAGACTTCGCAGCCACTTGGTTATGACCAATACAGCTTTTTGGTTGAGGGTGTTATATTTGCTGCTGTTAATAGCACTAACCGCACATTAATAAATAAAAAAAAAGGCTGCATACACCAAAATACGTCTTGGTTGGAGAAGTTGGAGGGAATTTGACATTCATTGGTATAGGAAACAGGCGGGTCTGATGTTAACTGAGTATTTGTACCATTTACCATTTACCTTGCATTGAGGCAGCGGTGCATGTATGTGCCGATTTAGCACTTTTTAGTTTGCTACTATATAATATATGACTGTAGACTTCTCATGGTGTTACCAGTATAGTGCAAATCCATATCGTGGCGGACAATCACACTAGTAGTAACCATGACACGATGTACCGAGAACTCCTACTTTCGAGAATCATATAATACTACTGGTATTGGTACCGACTACTAAATTTATGGTATCATGACATGACATCCCTAATATAAATGGACCCTTATATCTGAGACACTACAACAGCCAAGACCTATTACTGGATTTTTAAACTATTTTTCAGGTTAAAACATATTTTAAAAGGCCTTACATCTCACCTTTGTGAAGTCCTTAATTTCAAAAGGCAGTTTTTTGCTTTTGTTTAATACCTCCGCAGTCTCAGCACAAACCTCGATTTCACCAGTGGGCATTTCCTAGAAGATGTGCAATAACGCATTACAGCTTGGAGAAAAAAAAAAAAGTTTATCAATGGCAGAAAACTTGCTTTATGTCTACAGGAGCCACACTAACTTTCACTTGCCATCTTACATCATAGGTCCACAGTACAGATTAACAACAGGCAGCTTAATGCTTTCTAATGGCTATTCAGACTAACCTTGTTCTCTTGGCCTGCTGGACGACGCTTGACCTTCCCTTTCACCTTGACGACGGACTCCAACGGTAACTCACAAAAGGTTTTCTTAAGTTTGATTCTGGACTAAAGAGAAGAGTACATCTATTTTACCATTAAGTCACTTCCATAGCAAGATAAAGCAAAAAAACAGGATGAGAGTAAATAAATTAAACAAAAGCAAGAAAGGATACATCCATCTTTCATAATTCCCTCATCTTGTATATGGCACTAGGCACAGGATGTCAGAGGTAAGGAGCAGGCACTGATTACAGTCCATTGCTGCACCAACCAAACGACAAACCACCTCAGGGATGAGAACCTGAGTGCAGCCATGGTGCAGGCAATACATCAGCACCAATAGTCCAAATGGAACACTGCGAGTTTTTTTCTGGTGGCTGGAGTGCCAATCCTGGCAGCAAACCCCAAGTTTTTCCCTGTAAGTTGGAGGACCTCCTTATAGGGCTGGACATAGATTAACATCATACCCAGGACCAAGCAATTGCAGGTGAAGGGCCTTGCTCAAGGGCCCAGCAGAATAGAATCACTCCGAGCATTCATCAGATTTGAACCAGCACCCTTCTAATTGCTAGCACAGATCACTAGCCTCAGAGCCAGCACTCTGTCAAATGGTATATATTTATACAATCAAATCCCATGAGTGGGCATGGTGTGGTGGTGCGGTAGTTAGTACCTATGGGACCAGGGCCAGTCTTCACCCTGACACTATGGGTAGCTGTGGGTTGCATGTTCTACCTATGTCGTTATGGGTTATTTCTCTGGTTTCTCCCACAATACAAATACATATCCCATTCCCTGTAGGTAGGTGTATGTGTTTGCCCTGTGATGAGCTGGAGCCTCATCTAAAATTGACTCCTGCAACCCTGAATAGGACAAGTGGGTATAGAAAATGGATGGAACACTATGAGATGAAAATTAATCAAACTCCATGTTTTTGGACTGCAGAAGGAACCTGGTGTACTCGGAGAAACCCAGCCCATATCCATATGATGGATAGAATGGAATGGAAGGTGGATATATCCAGCTCTCTCTTAAATCAATAAATAACAACTTGCATACAGTAAACCTTTTAAAATAATCATTTTTATACCTCATCCTCTGGAATAAGCACTTGAGTCAGGCCACTGTAATCTCTCAGGATAACAAACATGCCATGTCTAAGGAAGAAAAGGAACATATCAACATTTTGTCCTAGTGTGATGTTTCCATGGTATGAGCAATAAGAATTTCTAAGAAAAATACTGAATGCCTGTAACATTTATTAGTAAAATCAGTCACTTCCAAGTAGTGAAAGGATTTTTTGGTTTGTAAAGCAGATCTGTTTGCCAGAGTACAAAGCTGTTCTTGACTACTCAAATACATGAGTAATGAAGCTACACAGGGAATAGACAAACCACCAAAAATGGCTGATGTGGGGCAAGGTCACCTTTGATACTGAACCCATCCACACAGTGTGACGACTTCTCCAACATGGGTAGATCGCAGCTCCCCACACGTGTGACTCCTGATCGAGAAACTGCTAGAACCTAAAAAACAGGAAATACAAAAAAATTACCCGACGCTTCAGACACAACTGCACGGCGGCAACTGTCTCTGTTCTAAAAGCATACCGGTTTACCTCTGTCTTCCGGGTACGATTTGGGTTATTAGTAAGTGAACAAATGTACGAGTCCAAAACCACTAGAAACGTTATTAGCTAGCCAAATACCTGAATTGGTACCGTGAGTCGACCTAAATTGGACAGAAGTCCATGAAGTACTTCTGATCATCGGAATATGTGTCCTCCTTAGGCATAGTTTCCCTGATGCCTGCAACGCCGCGTGATATAAGGTCTTCTGAATGAAATCCCAGGCTTTCAACGACATACTTTTAATATTAAGATCCGATATTTTCTTTTTACAGCGAACAGATTTTGAAGGTGAACAGCATAATCGATTGATTGTCAGAATACTATTCGACCTTAAGTTCGCCTTCTAGTTCAAGTAAACACGTTATTCATATCCACAATTCTTGAAGAAAAAAAAAACAGTTCACATTATAACACACATATAAGGGGAATACCCATAAAATACTTCAACAAAATCACATACTCCCCTTTTCTTGAAACGCATTTGACTACCCTCAGATTTAGGCTAAAAATCCAGTTTAAATGTTACTAAACCACCATAGTCAAATTCAGATGGCATCGATCAGTTGTAAATTCTAGGCATTTGTTAAATAACCAGAAATTTACTAAATAGTTAACTGCTGGTCTACAGTCGAGTGGAAAGGAACTACTCTTTATCTAAAAGCGGACTGATTTAGAACTTCATATTTAAACGATGATCGTGTAAATCGATTACTTTGGCCTGGCTCATCAGGCTATATGTGTGACGTAGTTCCGGTAAAGGTTCAGCCAGCTAAGTATTTTCCGGTAGCCTTTCGTTTGATGCGTTTAGCTCGTGTGTTCCGCGTTATCACCATGTCTCTGAAGAAAACGTTTAAATTTCAGCGAACCGATAGCACAACATCTGAACACTTGTGTGCCTTTGTGTCAGGCATCCAGTAAGTACAACAAAGTACTTAGCTTTAACACATTTCCCTCCAATGAGGAAACTAGGCGAAAATGGATTGTTGCTATCCGGCGGGAGAATTTCCCCATACCCGCCATTTTAAAAAAGATGATGTTTAGTGATGGCAAAACGAAGCTTTCCAAAGCACTTAAGCTTCCTTTTCAAGTGTGTCCAAAAATGGTTCAGTACTCGATGCCTTCCGAAATGGTGACCATTACTGACACCAAGTGGTCAAATAAGGAAATAACACTTAATTTTGAGTCAGTGCAGTGAATCTGAATATTTATAAATTGGCAAAAATTCTAATGGTCTGTAGTGCGTTATGAACATTAATGACCTGGTGAAATTGAATGTGACTTCTTGTGGACTGGGAAACTATTGACTTAACTGGGAAGGGGTGCTTGTGTAACAGAAGAGGGGCCATTAGTCTACAGATTTTTATTCAGGAACAGTATTTGTTCAACAGTGCGGGGGCTAAGTTGGTTACGTTTTTTATTCATCACTTCTCCTGCTTTGGAGAATACCCACTCACATGGAACGGAGGACGCTGGAGTGCATAAAAACTGTACTGCAAGTTCGTATAAGTGTGGATACACAGCCTGCTGCATATCCCAGAACCTCAAAGGGTCTTCAGTATGTGTTATATTGGGGTCACTGAGGTACTGCTGAACCTCCACAGTAGCATCTGCTGTTGAACTCTTGATCTGTCTGCTTTCCCCCACATCACTGTCCAGAAGATCCCACAGACCTGGAACCACAATGACAAAGCATGAATCATTATCTACACTATGCATTATGTACTGTGCAATAATTATATATCCCAATTCAGTGTAATTGAACCATATCATAAAAATGTGAGAGGCTGCAACAGTACCGGTGGCCATTGCAGTACCAGATGAGGTTCCTGCAGGCTCTGGTTCTGGTGGCTGAGTGTATGTGGAAGTGGATGGGTTCTGCTGGGCCTCCTGCGATCATATGATGGATGCACACTCTGCTGTAAGGTGTTTCACAGCAGTCTGAGCATTAGATTTGTTACAGAAACCTGCAGTTTTATATCTTGGATCCAGCAGTGTGGCCAGTGTCATAATGCTCATGGTTTCATAGATGGACAACCTCTCCATGAGCAACCTCCAGAGGTTCTTGCACAACTGCTGGGCCTTGATGTTCTGTGCCTGGGACAGTTTTAGATTCACAGCATGTCTAAGCATGCGGATGAGAGGAATGACCTTGGATCCTGACACTCTCTTCTCTTCAGACAGTTCAAAAGTTGCCTCATTGAAATGACATAACACATCCAGACACTCATGAATCATGTCATACTCCTCTGAGGTCAGGGTCGTGAGCTGTCTTCAAAGTGACCAATGCAGCACCAACTGGCTCTCTTTGACCATGCAATCGCTGTAACATGGAATAGGTGTTATTCCAGCGGGTTTCCACATCTTGAATCAATTTGAGAGTGGGCCTGCCCATCTGTTGTTGAATTTGGGAAAGCCTTTCTCTAGCAGTTGTACTGGTTCTGAAGTAAGTCACAATCTGTCTTGCCTTGGATCTGATATCACCAAGTCCTTCGGTCTGATCAATGGCCCTCTTCACGAATAAATTTAGTGCATGTGCAATGCAAGTTGTGCGTCTGACCTTTAAATTGCTGGCACAGGCAATCATGTTTGGTGCAGCGTCAGTCACAAGGCATCGGACTTTATTCTGTATGCCCCACTCCTCCATCAAGACTGCCTTGACTACAGCCATGTTTTCTGCAGTATGAGACTCTGGGAATTTTCCTACTCCTAATAGAATTGTAGACAGCTCAGTCTTTTCATTTATAAAATGGCATGTGACTGCTAAATAAGCATCCATATGTATGTATGTCCACATGTCAGGAGTTAGGCTTACTGCCTTAGCCTTTGTCACCTCTTCCTTTGCTTTCTCTTTTTCTATCTTAAATTTCTCTGCTACCAAACCCTTTAATGTTTGCCTGGAGGGGAGAATGTAGGTTGGATCCAAGATACTCACAAACTCTCTAAATCCAGCGTCATCCACAATGCTAAAGGGTTGTGAATCCTTTACAATCATATTGATCAAGGCCTCATCAATCTTTTGTTTCTTGGTCTCTGTGACGGGAATCAAAAACATACACAGTATCATTATACAGATTATAGGGTAATACCCTCACTCATGTTTGATATTAGGTATTTGTACAATTAAGCTGTTCCTTGAACACAATAAAGACTAATTCATAAGTATGCTTATTAATTAATCATATTAGTTATTCATTAAGAATACTAATTATTATTATTAGGAGTAGTAGTATGTTGTTGGTTATTAGTATAGCTGCAAAACTGTGCTATACCTAGACTTCTTGTAGACTGACTTGTGGATGGAATATTCTGGACATTCTCATGCTTTGCACGGAAATGTCTCAACATTGATGAGGTGTTTTTAATATCCTCCTGAGACCCCACCCATTCATTTATGTCCATTGTAGTGGACATTTTGTTTTTGCATCTATCTTTTCACTGATGTAAGGAAACATATTTATTCCTGTTGTACACTAAAGAGGACATGCTGTGAAATAAAAAATAAAATTGAAAAAATCTAAATGTAAGATGTCTTATTTCCTCCAAAGACAAATAACCTACAATTGAAGGACACTTTTTCCTTGGGTCTCAGGAGGCTATAGGACAACTGCTGAGAGCACTCCAAACATTCCACCTGGACCAGGGCATTACAAGAATAACAGAATCAATACTTTTACACACATAAATAAATATTTCCCAATTTATCAAACAACACACCTTATTTGTTGATACAAGTTTGAAGTGTTGCCAAACTTCAGAACGACTTTTCACAAGGTAAGATATACTGTAGATACACTGATAATGAATAAGATTAATTAAAAACTGTAAGGCATTGTTAGAAGGGAACATGCTAACATATTGTATTTGTATTATGCAGATTTGCATCCTATGAGCACCTCATGCGCTTCTGGGCATTAATAGAGCCGTCACTGCCGTTTATGGTCAGCGTGACAAAGGCACCACAACAGAGCCAAGTACATCTGCAGTAAGTATTTACTATGATGTATCATGTAACTTAACGTAATATCTCCAGTGTATCCCCTAGATTTACAACAGCTACAACTCCTTTTATTCTGGCGTTTAAGTACACAGTACAAACTACTTATATATATATATATATATATTATATGAATTCATTAAACATTATACAAACAAAATTTAATTTTGGATGAACAATATAGACAAAATAATTATTTCCTATAATAATGGTACATCCATTTATCAAATAGAGGGAAATAGCTTGATGGTTAAATAACATAACTGTTTCCAAAATCTGTTTTGCCAGCCCATAGATGAGATGTTCCTGTTCTTCAACTACCTGGCACTGGGCTTAAAACAGTGGGACCTTGCTGACAGATATGGAATCCACCAGTCCACAATCAGTAGGATCATCACAACATGGAGCAACTTTCTCTACACTGTCCTGGGATCTGTAAGGATCTGGTTACCAGTTATGTTGACTGTGACTTGTTTACTCTGTCATATACTACAGTACTGCTACACAAATAAGTGCCCATAAGCCAGGGGTGCTCCTGGAGAGCTACCACCCTGCAGAGCTTAGGTACAGCCCAAATTTAACACACCTGATACAGATAAACAGGCCCTCAGTATGAGAACCAGCTTAACTTCAACATAGTTGACTCTCATACTGAGGTGCTACTGAAGTGCCTGATTGCACTAGCTGACATCAAATTTGGTGAATAATATCAAATGACATTTTTCAAACACCGTTCTTAAACATTTTTAGTCAGTTTTTTTTGTGATTTTGAGTTTTTTTCATATACAATGCATTGTATACCTAATAATGTCATTTTGATACCAGTCATATAAAATCACCAGTAACCTAATTTTTAGTACAAACCAGTCAGCAGGGTTTACAGGCAGCTTGCAGTTATGTAAACTTACAGGTATGCTGCTCCAGGTCCACTGACGCCGACCTTTGTATGCAGAACTGTGGTCCGCTTTCCGGTACTGTCAGGTTACTGGTGATTTTATATGACGAAATCACAGAAAAACCAGATGTGCTGGAGCAAAACTAAATATACAAAAAATGTTTGTTTATGAACGGTGTTTGAAAAATGTCATTCGAAATGTCATTATTCGCCAAATTTGATGTCAGCTAGTGTAATTTATGTTGAACTTTAATTGTAAATTGTGACAAAACCAGATGTGTGGCGGCATATTGGTAGCCATATTCTAAAACTACATGAAAAACTGTAGAACATGCACTTGTTTTTGTTAAATCACCTAACAAAAAATATTAAAATGTTGGCTGGTGTTATCTGTATGAGGCGTGTTAAATTACCTAAGCTCTGCAGGGTGGTAGCTCTCCAGGAGCAGGATTGGGCACCCCTGTCCTAAGCCAATCTCTTTGTTTTTCTAAACTTACTGTACTTTTCAGCATTTTACCGTTTGAAATTAAAGATTTGTTACCCACCTAGGCTTGAGCAAAGATCTGTAGCAGCGCCCAAGGAGCTGGGGGGTTAAGAGCCTTGCTCAAGGACCCAAAGACGTGCTGAGGCTGGGTTTGAATTGGTGACCTGATTACAGGCACACAGGCTTAGCCCACTGAGCCACACGCTGCCCCCAGTTGTAAACTCAGTTACAGTGTACAGATCAATAGCTATATATCTTTATATAGGTGCTGTAAATATTAAAAGTTTATCTGTATATTCTTTGTCAATTTCAAATTACTACTGTTGATTTATTAAAATAAATTCACTTTGTTCAACTTATTACTATCAGGTTTTTTACTTACCCACCTCTCAGTTGTGTTGCAGTTTACACAAGACAAAAAACAGATTCCACTTGTGCAACGTTGTTCATTTGCCATACTACAATCTAATTAAATTCAACATTTCGAATGCCAAATTACAACACATTCATTACGAAACAGTCCTATTTGCAGAGGGAAGTGTGGAGGTAAAAATAAAAAAAAGAAATAGTCAACTTTTTCTTTAATAGTTTTCATCATTTCCTCATCTCTGGGGATCCTCTGGATGAACATGTCATCTTGTGCATAAACCATAAAGTCACACCAGTCAAAGCCAGAAGTGAGCATCTGACCCTGGACCTGCCAGAAGTAAGGATGGGATTTCCTTAGTATGTGTGCCCTCACAGATCTTTATATATGGGCAGTCCACATAGCTCTGCAAATTTGGGGATTTAATTTCAAGAAGGCCAAACACTGGCTGCTCCTTTGGATCATACACAATCCCATCTAGTGTAGACCCCATCCATGGTGCATCTGGGTGGATAAGGAAGCCACAGGGATAGTGGTTAACTTCCATTACTCTGCGGTACTCTTCTACTGCTGCAGGTTCCATCTCCAGCCCCCTCCTCATGTCTGCAGTCTGACAGCTTGGCTTCAGGAGCCTTTTTGCTAGATTTTCAGCAGAGCTTTGCCCCCTGGTGTGACAGACCTCTCTGAATTTGGAGGCGGTGACACGAGCCCAACTTAGTTGGTGGCACTCGTTGCTGAAACACTGCTTCCGCGTGTTGCTCTCTACCTTGTGTGCTGTGTGTAGGGATGTTTGTAGGGAATTCATGTGGAGTTGCTGATGTTCAGTGTAAACAAAAGAACAAGAAGGTGGTCCTAATCTGTAGTGTTTAAGTGGCAGCTGTAGGGGAAAAGGGGCATCTGTGTATGGATGGGTTTTTGGGGGACTCCTAACTGGCAAGTGGTATGACAAAACATTTCCTTCTTGCACTTTCCCAAACGCTGAATCAACCAAAGGTACATCTGAGGATACAGCCATCATTGTTATGAGTGGAGCAACATCAGGGGGAAGGCCACTGTAGATCTCATCCACTTTGAGTACGGAAAGATCAGGCAGAGGTGAACTTACTCCCTTATACAAGTTGGTCCTAGGAGGGAGGAGGAGAAAAAAAAATAAGGGGGGTAAGGGTTAATTTTTGTGTTTTGTTTATATTGCATCTGTTGGGGAAGTTTTGAGATTACATAAATACATCTGTTGACTACTTTTACTACATTTGTAACTTGTAAGAACTACAGGAATAATGAATAAGGAACCTGACACCATCTGCCAGCAGAGTCCTGCACGGGTCCACTTTTGCAGACCTGCACCCGCCCAGTACAGCACCACACCCGCCCGTTCACCCGTGATTATTTCAAAGTTAAATCTGCACCCGCCCAGGCCCGTTACCTACCCGTGATAAATTACGCACAATTATTTTTTCTATGCACCTCTCAACGTGACAAGCGCTAGGCCTACATGAATTTTGAATTGAAACGAAAAAGTCCGTTTAACACGAAATCAAATCAGATAGATCTAAGCTATCCATACTGTGATAGTAGATATTTTCGCTTATATGTTATTTTTGCAGGCAACAATACTGTTTTGATTGACCTGCTACCCGCCCGTGTGTAATGAATTACCCGCCTGCAAAATTCCAGAACATTAAAATCCACCCGTTTCAGCAACTATCTGCGGGTACCCGACCCTGTCTGCCAGTCTTCTTTCCTTGGGTCTGGCTGAAAGAACCACCATGTCATTCACCAGACCAGATTTGCTGCATTTAACAAAAAGATTATTTATGAACATCAATAGAACTGGTATATACTTGATATGTATAAAAAACAGCTTATAAACATAAGCATGATAAGTATCATGCTAATAAAATTACTTACCATGGTTCTAGGTTTATGCCATTGTTGTTCAGTCTCTGTGCAGCTTTGTATCGGGGGAACAGCAGTGATCCTCAGCTGTGAGTAATGCGCTGTCTGGTACAGAAGTGCTGCCACATGATTGCACAAAACTCTGCCTGCCACACAGGTACAGTGGCAGCTCTGTAGCTGCACAGAATGGGAATCCCGCAATACAATCTGTCAAAAAATATATACAATATAGTATATATTGTAAGTGCCATACAAGGACAGTTAAATATAACCAAATTACTTTTAATCTTATTTTTTAGTACAGAATGAGTAAAGTAAGTGAATGGAAGAACTTGTAATCAGCTGTAGTTAGAAGCGTAGTTCCATGTAAATTTGTCAGCGATGGTGGAAAATGCAGTTTAATAAGGGTATAGTAACCGTGTAAGAAAGAAATGTAATAATCTTTAATACCTAATAAAGAATAATTTAGCTCTACGATCACATATAATGTGAAGTTGTCTGAAAATGTAGTTTGAAACGTAATTGTTGTGTGAGTCTCTGGTCATAAGTACGGTAACTGTCTGTAGTGAACAATAGGGACAAATCTCAGACTGCTAAGTATTGATTAGCACAGGGGTGACTAATTTTATCCAGAAAGGGCCGTTAGGCATGCAGCTTTTCGCTGCAACTCCGTACTTAGAGTAGAACGTAGAGAACCGATCGACTGCAGAGTTCGCACAACTGGGTTTGAGCAACTGATCGAACTGTTATCCCAAAAAAACCTGCAAACACACCGGCCCTTTCTGAATAAGATTGTCCATCCCATGTAGCGGCATATGCAGTTAGTGTGTAATGCTTGGTAAAGGATGTTGTGTGCCATATGGTACACTTCGCCATATATAGGGAAAAAACAAGAAATAATAATAATAAACATTAATAAAATAAAAAGACAATAATAAAACCCAATAATAATAATAATAATAAATCATTATCCCTTGTATGTGTATACATGTGTGTATGTGTAGCCCTATGCAGAACATGCCCTATGTTGTGCAGTTTCTTCATTACACACATAACTTAAGAGGAACAACAGTCGCCTTAGAAAAGAGTACAGCATTTTGATGAAGTACTCCTTATTCACTGACAGATGTCATTGCAATAATGGAAGAGTAGAATGACACTACAGCGGTCAGATACGAATCCATGCCTTTGTACTCGGGAAATTACGTCTGTAATGTTTGGATATTACACGCACCTGTCTATTTCAGCCAGCCACTAACATTCTATAAGTGACAACGTCGGACCAGGAATTTGTAAGTAGTCGTAGTGTGACTGAAACACAATGAACTGCAATCAACGTAATTGCAGATGGAGCGTCTTTCAAAAAATTATTTTTGCGCGATTGCTAATTTTCATATTATTGGCGTTATGTGACTGAGAAACTGATGACACAAATATATATGTGTCTGTGTGTGTATGTTTGTGTGTGATTATTATATATTTTGCACAGTTCGCAAGTTTTTGTACGCGACCGGCTTGTACGCGACCGGCTGTGAAAGTGCTTTGTTAGTTGTTGCGCACGACTTGCCGTGAGTCCGACCAATCAGCGCTGGAACCACTGTAGTTCCCACTACGGAAGTCCTAACTAAGGGCGCTTTTCCACCGTACCGTACTTTTGGTACGGTACTTTCGCTTTTCCATTGACTTCCGGTCGAGTACCAGTACCGAAATCTCGAGTACCAAAAGTGCCAAACCAGTTGGGGTACTTCTTTGGTACTTCGATACTTTGGGGTGGGACTTACAAACGTATTTGCTGTCGATTGGTTATGCAAATAGCCTGCCGCTGAAA